ACCGTAGTGGGGTTGAAACTGGTACCCCTAGGCTCGGAAACATGCAAGGATGATGATTCCAGCCTTTGATTTTAATTTGGGAATCGGATTCTAGTTCCTTATTCGCAATTTTGACTTTAAGTGTTTCTGAGACATCTTTTGTAGACTTTGAGAAAATGGTTTCCCAATCTGATTCCGCAAGCACTGGTGAGAAAGCCAACCATGACCTCCCCCTAGGTTACGACTATGTCGAGGCCATGAAGGAGGTCGGTATTGATGAAGAGGCTGGAGATGCTGCTTTAGTCATGGATGTCGTTCCACTTCGCGCTGTGAAAAGTCCCATATGTGGGAAAAGGAGAAGGGGTGGTGATAATGTGGGTGTGCTGGCTAATAATGGTCCTCTGGAGGCCCACTACTCACTTTGCGCTGCTGATAAGGCCAGGCGCTAGGCTGGCCCTACCATTGTCATTGCCCGGCCGGACGGGGTTCCATACTTTGTTGTTTCGTCGTTTTGTGTATGGTTCTGACCTCTTGCATCGAGGTCGGCCTCGACTGAGGCTTCAAACTTAAGTGTTTGATGCATAACTAGAAGTCTTTGTCCGCCAATCGTGATATCCCGAGGTATTTGGGAATGTACTCCATCAAATAGTGTGGAAGTTAGTTTTATGTTGAGAACTCGATGACGTTTGACCAACTAGTGGTGGTTCTCCCACAAGTTATGTTGTGAATAGAGCTGAGCGCACAGATCCATGTTTTCCCGCACCGTACCGAAAAATCACTTTGATACATACAAGAATTGATAAAACCAAATAATATAATATCGTATAGGAACGAGTTTTTTTATATAATGTGGTACATATCAGTTATTCACTTAGAACTACCCCAGAATCGTATCGAATTGAATTTTTCTGAACTGTTCTGAAGCACCAGTTTTATTATATAATACCCTCTCCGTATTTAAAAGTTTGCTACATTTTTTCTTCTTAGTAAGTTTTATCTTTAAAAATACTCAGCTACCTTTACATTTTTATTTTTATCTTATCTTTCATAATTCTTGTTTTACCTTCTGAATGCCTAATATTGTTATTTTCATAATTCTTTTTTCCTTAACATTTAATTTTTTTAAGGTATTTATGCCTATAGATTATCTAAGTTTTTAATGAGGGGATTTCAAAATTAATGGCAAAATTGATCATTTTTTCTTTAATTTGAAAACAAGTTTTACGAATAACTTGAACATTTTTTAAATTTATTTTTATTGAAGTGATAATAAATATATTTAGATTGCTATTTGAACAGAGTTTTTTCCATTTTTGTATTGGATCTACAACCCCTTACGATTAAACCTACTTAAAAATAATTCAATTAGATTTCATTTTATTTATTATTAAGATATTTCATTTTTTGTTTAATTTTTAATTATTTCAGACGTAGGTTGTAATAGATTTATTGTGTTAAGAGAAAATATTTAAATGGCATTGAGGTAATCCACCATATCTGTAATATAAGATATCTTTTAACCAAATAAATTAATGTCACATTCCTTTAACCTTAACCAAACACAAATGGGAATAAAGTAAATACATTCCCATCAATCTAACATACCCAACAATCTGAGATTCTCATGGTAATATGACATTCCTTGAACCAAACGCACCCTAAGTGTTGGGACAAGGAAGATGGGAACAACTCTGATACCAATTGTTCCAGACATAGCCCATACTAGGCTCATATCAATGTCATAAGTCCATGTGTAGAACTCACTCCCAAAAGACCAGTCGATTAGGAGGAGGGGACACCACTCATAAACTAATGATCAAGCCCATACTTGATCGGTGAGGGATAGTTACACATTGATTGAGCACACATCACGTAGCTCAACCAAATTAATAATTATATAGAATCTTATAAACTAATATACAATTAATTATCAAGAATACTCTTACTTGCTTAAGTTTATCCTAGTGTGTTGTTGACAATTATAATCTTATGAGTGTTAATGATTAATTATGATAAACATTCTTACTTTTTCTCCATTGATGTTTCACACTGAGAAAAATAGAAATTTTTAAAATTTAGTATCCAAACATTGCTCTATAATTAATACTCCCTCCGTAGTTTAATGTTCACAACAATATGGTTGGACACATTATTTAAGGATAAATAACAAGGGTAATGGATAATGTAGAAAAAGTAGGAGAAATAGTGGAAAAATATGAAAGAGAAGATAAAAAGTAGAAAAACAAGAGTAATTGAGTATATTTAAAGGTAAAATTTACCAAAAAGGGAAAGTGTAGCAAACTATTGAAAACATCCGAAAAAGGAAAGTGTATCAAACATTTAAATAAGAGGGAGTATGTTATTTTTTTATTTACATTATTTAAGAATCAAATCGTACCAAAAGTTTATTCAGAACGAGACATGGTATGTACATTTGGGATGGTATATGTACCTTGATTCTTTAAGAGAACCGTCATGTACCATTACATGTCCATCCCGACTAAGAACCTGAAGCGCGCAATCAATCGGTTCAAAGTGATTTTTTATGTGCTGTGATGTATTAATGGTGCTGAGAATCAAACGAATTATTCAAACGATTCGGATTTACTTCTCTCGAATATTTGTGTTGGATTTTTGGGAGCTCAAAATTGTTCCAACGAAATTGAGATATACTAACAAAAGAAAATGAAATTATTTCCCTATTTTTACTTCTATTACAGTTTTTTATGATTTAGTTTTATTATAGTTATATATCATTATTTCCCTATTTCTTCTTTGAGAGAATATTCGTATTAACATAATGAATTAGGTAGTTTATTTTTGTAGAGATATAAAATTGGATGAGCACAAGCATTCAAAAAAAAGTTGGGAAAGTTCCTGAAATAGGACTAAAACAGTTTCAAAATTCTAAAATAGGACTGTCATGTTTTTATTCCCAAAATAGGACCAATTAATGCCATGTTTAGAAAATAATGTCATGTTTGAAGTCTGGTGCTGCCATAACATGGCATTAATTAGTCTTATTTTGGGAATAAAAACATGACGATCCTATTTTGGAATTTTCAAGCTGTTCTAATCCTATTTTGGGTAATATCTCAAAAAAGTTAGATAAATACAAGACCAATTCTTGATGTACACAAATTGTACATTATCTGAGTACACAAGTTTGACATCAAATCCTGCCATTTTCAAACTAATTGCTTGTCTATGTAAGACCATTTGAAGTGTGTAGGATTAGGAGTCAAAAGATTAAAGATATAGATTTTTGACTCTTAATTTGGTGTAGTGGAGGATTAAAAGAGGTATTAGAGTGAGAAAGGGGATGAAGTCACGGAGGGGTGTAAAAATAGAGGAAGCGTTGACAAGGAAAAAAAGGAAAAAGAAAAGAAAAGAAAAGAAAAGGAAGGCCGGCTTGTGCGCGTAGCATATGCATTCAGATGATGTCACACCGACGTCATTATAAACCCAAATTATTTTAATCTTTTATAACTTTTTTATTTGTTTTACAAATCTTTCAAAAACTATATCAAAACTCATGAATTTTTATGATCTTTTATATGACACTCAAAATATTTTTAGGAAAATTTTTTACATATTCAGAAACTATATTAAAAGATTTACAAAGTCGCAAAAACCAGAATCAAATTTGATAAAAATTTGATACATAAAGTAAGAGATTAAGAGTGATTTGTGTTGACCAAGTGAATAGGAAATGTGACAATAATAGGGGGACGGAGGGAGTATATAAAATGAAACAAAAATTTGAAATTTTAACTGTTGAAGTTTTCTTGAGCCCAAAAAAATACAAAACACAAATTTTTAATTCATGCAACCTTCATAAATAAGTGAATATTTCATAATCTAACTTTACTTGAACTAAGTTCATTTTTTGTTAAATAAAAAAATGTTAAAAAATTTAATCAAATTTGTTTATTTTTATATTGAAATATGTCTTTTTTATTTTATAATTAATCAGAGAAAAAATTAAAAGTAAAACATTACTTATAATAATTTAATTAGTGTTTTCCTAAAATGATATGTAAAAAATATGTAGAGTGTATTTAATTGACGGTGTTAAAATGCAGAGTAATAGGAGTCAAAACTAGGGATGACAACATGGCGGATTGAGGACGATTTTACATATAACCGTACCCGCCACGTTTCGTAATTCCCCTGCCCCATAACAGCCCCATAACCCAATGGGTAATTTTTACCCAAACCATAACCGCCCCAACGGGTAACGGGTATAATCGCGGGTAACCGCAAGTAATCGTTTTATTAAACGAGTCATTGATGTTTTAATATAAAAATAATATTTTAAAAGGAGACGCCAATTTAAAGTTTTGTATATCTACAAATACAAGATAAGAATGAAGACAATATAAATTAATTTGAACCTAAAAAACTTAATCTAAAAAATAATTAATCACGAAAAAATGTGATAATAATCAAACAAGACTATTAAGATCTATCATGAACTTTCATTCATACATCATAGCGAATAAATCTATTATCCATATATACACAATGAAAATAGAAAAATCTCATCTTTTATCAGTTGTGGGACAAATAATAGATAAGAATGTAATAAAATAAACAGGGTGGCTAATAGGACGGACATGTATAAAACCATAACTGCCCCGTTACCCGTAAAAACAAAATGAGTATTCCATGCCCCATACCGATTACCCGGTCAATGCGATTCAGTGCGGGTATCCATCGTATCGATCACAATTGTCATCTCTATTCAAAACACTGTTTGCATATAAACGGAGTCAGTGGCGGACCCAGAGATTTGTGAGAGCGAGAGCACGCTAGACACTAAATTTAGTCTATAATAAAAACTTCAGGCTCAAAGCGATGACAATGATTTTACCTTAAGTGTTACTAATGAATTTTCGGGCTGCGAGACAGATGCCTCACCTAGCCCTCCTTAAGTCCTCCACTGAATTCATTTTTGACATTTTGACTCTCCTACCACTCCAAATGGTGCAATCAACTCAAAGACCCGACTCTGATTAGCAGGAGATAGATTACAATGGGGCTTTCCCGATAAAGCAGCACACTAAACAAACACTATCTTTCTACAACCAAACCTTCGTTTCATTTCCCAAGAAAAATAAAAATAAAAAAACACAAGAAAGACTACAATGGCGAATGACCCTGATGATATCTTTGCTTTTGTGAACCAAATCCTGTTCCGTTCATCTTCCCCACCTCAACAAACCGAACCTTGTTTCTCCATGGCCGGGCCGTCCGGTGGTGGTTTCCCGTCTTCTATGGGTCATTTTGCGTCGGTTGAGAATGAACCGGATCAGTATGATTGTGAAAGTGAGGTACTCTGTTTTCGGCACTCCCCGAGGAAAAATTTGTTCTTTTCTTTCTTATTTTTGGTTTCCTTCTGTTGTTTGTTCTATGCCTATTCATGAAGTTTGTATATGCAGGAGGGCAGTGAAGCTATGCTGGAAGAATTATCAGCAGCAAAATCAAGGGTACCTCGAAACACAAAGAGAAGCAGAGCAGCTGAATTTCACAATTTATCTGAAAAGGTTGGATCTTTTCTTCTTCTTCTTCATTTCTTGTTTTATTTTCTTGATTTTCATCTTATTCGTTTTGACGTTATCATTTAATTGTTTGAGTTGTATGATCTTACTGTGTAGTAATGGCTTGGGGTTTTGGTATAATGTGTATAACTAAAATGTTTGACAGAGGAGGAGGAGCCGGATCAATGACAAGATGAAGGCCCTACAGAATCTAATACCAAATTCAAACAAGGTGAAATAATTAATGAGCTTTGAATAAAATTTTTACTTTTTTCTCCAAGAAGAAAAGTTTATTTATTTAAAAATAATAATTGTGAAATGTGGTTTGGATAGACTGACAAGGCTTCCATGCTTGATGAAGCCATTGAATACCTCAAGCAGCTACAGCTCCAGGTCCAGGTGTGTATTTATTTGAATTGTTAGGCCTCATTTGATTTATTTGGTGGTCAAATTTAATTACTATGAATTATCAGATTTAAAACATGTTTGAAATTTTGGGATTTGACCAACCCAGTAGCATAGTGGATGTGATTGATGCCCTTTGATTTCATGAATTGAAAATCAATAAATCATTAAGCCTCCTAATTCCAAAATCCAAACCTTGTGATTCGAAACCTTTCTCTGAAATAAGTGGAGAAATAGTTACCTCAACTAGTAAAGTTTAAAACATAACTACTTTCCTTAATTATTGACATGTTCACTTAAAATGATTTCAGTCTCAGACTAGTTCAAACCATACTAAGACTTAAATACACGAGATCACATCTAAATATATCTGAATATACTTCAATAAAAATAAAGTACGCATAATATCATAAGAAATTTAAGCAGTCCAAACTAGACTTAAACAAGTCAGTTTAGAGCGTACCAATTAAGACCAGATCACTGAAGTATAGTCTAAATGAAAAGGTCTTTAGACAACATGTTTTGATCCTAAACTAAGATGTATTTGGTCCTACATAAAGAAGACAAATATGTTTTTATTCATAAAACAATGCTATCTTGTCATAAGTCATACGAGTATTAGAAGTCATATTTGGGAAATTATGTTTTAGTCATAGTAAGGGAAATTGCTCCTAACCGAATAATTCTTGGGAATCGAGTCTCTTGTCTTAATTCGGAAAAAGAACTAAATTAATGTTTGTTATAGCTTTAATAATCCTTGCCAACACACTGTCTTGATTGTTTTATTTGTAGATGTTGACAATGAGAAATGGATTAAGCCGCTATCCTATGTGCCTTAATGGAGTGCCACAGAACCAATATCCCACTGTCACAGTGGGCTCCTATGGGAGAAACAGATCTCCAAATCCCAACATGACTGGGCCATTCCATATGAACCATGATGTTTCTCTAAATGGTATGCGCAGTGTAGCCATCAATGGTCCAAACCCAAAGCTCACATCTGTGGCTACTTACTCCAATGTTGTGAGCTCTGAAGCTACAAGCGACATGGAGACAATGCACCCTCACCTTCCACCCTCTCAGCAGCCCATTTCTTTGAAGGTCATTTCATTCACTTCAGTTTCAGTGTATTACAAAACAATACGTAGTATGAAATTTCATTAGTAGGTTTTAAATTTTTTTCCTTTACAAATTGTAGGAAAATTGTAGGGCAGGGATTCTATTTTCAGATGACATGGATGGCTGTCATTCAAGAAACATGTCAATTGGTGAGTGGCTTCAACAGCATTCCTCAACAACTTGATATGTACTCCCCCCGTCCCACAGAATTCTTCCCACGTATCATTTTGGGATGGAGGGAGTATGATACTAAGATTCTCCCATTGCCTAGTTGGCTACTTTATGTCTTGGTCTAATTGAACCAATGTTGTAAAAAGCGCTAGGCAGGTATTTAACGGTAAATCTCTTAGAGTCCCTCACCAATGCCGTAAGGGTTTCTTTCCTAATTTATTTACGCTGGACAATCCTTCACCTAGTGGGGTATCTTTTCGAGGGCGAGTTAGGTCAGTTGGGCTTGGTAATGGCTTGGATTTAGATCTAATTGCGACCTAGAGTCATCACATACTTTGCATTACAGGTATAATTTTATTGCCCTTTACACTAACTGGACCCAGCTTTGTTTTGAAATTTGAAAAAGTGTGTGGATATGTGCTAGGTCTAGTAAATCTAATACAGTATCACAGTCAGGTTGTCAGAAGTTAGGGCCACCCACGGATGCGTTTTTTAGGTCTAGGATGTTAAGTATAAAGGGGGCATGTTAGATATACATAAATATATCAATTCCATTTGTTGAGGAACACATTCAGTATATTACTTGAGGTGAATTGATTCAATCCAACTCTTCTCGATGCACTGTTTTTTACATTTCACCACTTCCAAAATCAGATATAACTAAGGGTGAATATCATACATTATGTTTTTCATTGTAATTTACCTTAACCTTAAAGAGGTTGAAATAAAATTCACATACTTGATGCTATTCAAACAATATATTAAGATGTTCAATCAGGAGAATCTATTTTTTCGTAACATAGATTTATTTTAAGTTTTCCTTGATATAGGTGAATATCAATCAAAACTTGGCATTAACAGTCTCTTGAATAATTTAAATGTGGAGGGCAATTCTCCTCCCGCCTCTTGAGCCCAGTAAATATAGTAAGATCCAATTAATTAGGCAGAGCTTTAGCGGAAAAAGCCCTAGGCTACCGATAATAGCCTAGCATCTCAGCAGGGACTTATCGGGGCTAGGTGAAGAATTTTTACAACAATGAATTGAACTACGCTGTTCTTCTTGTGTAGGAGAAGCTTCCACTTCAATTCCTTTTGTACCGGAACTATCTGGCTTGAGAAGTGGCACTTTCGAGTCCTACCATCCAAGGAGAAACCAATCAGATGTTTATCATCCAACAAACATGGACTGCACCACTCCACAACCCTATAAGTAAGTGGTCCTCCGTTTTTACTGAGCCGAAGTTTGTCTAATTGTTAACATAGCTCTGTTCCAAACCATCATTTATCAGCATTGGGGATGGAAGAAATGTTTTTCTTTTCACCGAGGCAGAGAGAGCAATGTCTGAAATATGATGGTCTTGGCTTGTACTTCTCATTACTGCATGGGATTGTCATTTGTGTAATAACAAAAAATGTATGATTAGGGTTGATTGTAATGCACAGGCAAAACCTTCTGTATAGTATTAGTAAAGGGTACTTCTTTTCATATTTGTTTAAGGGTTAGTAACATTATTGAAGAGCATTAAAACAGTACTCACTGGGACTTCAGTACGTTAGCATTGTTGGACATGGTGAGACACCAAAAAGATCTTACATCATCTTATGCAAGTTCATAGCAGTGTTATGAACTTGTGGCGTGCTGGTAGTGCAACCTGCGCCGTGTGTTTCACGCGTGTTTGATTCCCATTTTGGACATATTTTCTTTTTTTTGTACAAAAAAAAACAGTGTTACGAGACATTCCAGGAAATCACTGGGTGTTTTGTTTTGTAGTGAACAAATCAAATAGCCGTGTGTATTCTGCATATCATTTGAGAACTATTGAAACAATTATACGAATTGTCGAATGAAAAAATAACTAGTACGTAGTACTATACCTCCGTAACATGAGATCTTCCCACTTTGAAAGTGAGTGAGATTATGAACAATGAAAGAGGATATAAATTATTGAGGCTATGATGGAAAGATAATGGAATAGTGTGACAGAATGAAAGATAGTCCCACTTTGAAATAGTGAAGGGGTCTTCCCACTTTGAAAGTGGGTGAGATTATGAAGAGTGAATGATGATATAAATTATTGAGGGTATGATGAGAAGATAATGAAATAGTGTGATGGAATGAAGGATAAACCCATAGAAAGTAGGTGTAATAGTGTATTATTTTTTAAATCATTGGGGGTATGATAAGAAGATTTAGAAATGAGAAGATTATTTAGTTACGGTTGAAAAAGGGAAGTGAGAAGATATTTACGTTATGGAGGTAGTATATATTATTCAAGAACTGAATTGAGAAATAATCTTTAGAGAAGGAAGTTTTGAAGAAAAGAAATTAAAATTCATCATCATTATTATCCTAGTGCCGCAAAAGATCCACTTACGGTGAGTAAGGAGGGTCAGATGTACGCAGTGCTAACCCTGTAAAACACAAAGAAACTGTTTCTGGATGACTCATATTGAAAATCGCGTCCAAAATAGCATGGACCGACGGTTGTTTAGCGAGTCATCTTGCTTTATTTCATCACATTTTCTAGCTCAAAATTAGTGAGTCTTTGACCTCTATTGCAAATGATGGGGAAAAAAATTAAATATTCTGTAGTTAAATTTAGAAGAAGCAAAGTCGCTAAAAATACACATGCTAAGTATCACTTCCTTGGGTGTAAACGAGTCAAATCTTTTGCGAGTTGTTCATGTATTGTTCGGAAAAAACCCGAATCAGGTTTGCTCATATTCAAGCTTGACTCGAATTCGGTTCGACTTGAATATTTTATGAGTCATATTCAAGCCTATTTATTATATATTCATGGCTCGCAAGCCAGTTCGCCGAGGCTTGGTGAGTGTATACACATAATCCATTATATACTCTTGGTATAATGATTATATACATATAATATATTTGGAACCGTTATTCTAATTAAGGATTGTTTTATGTTCAATACTTATTATACAGAGTATTGTAATAGGTAATTATTATATACTCTGTATATAATATTATTTATTACGCTTAAATATGTTTTAGGTCCCTGTCATGTGCATTATTTTGTGTTTAGTTCATATCTACTTAAAAAAGAATTATCGTAAGTTGCATAAATTCAATAGAAGCATTTAAATTTCTTATTTTAATTTTTTAAAAACTAATATGAGAGTTAAGACAATGTAAAGCTAAGTATTCCCATTTTGAAATATATATTAAAAACCATATAAATTAAAATTAATTAATTTTTGGGTTGATGATTATATTAGTATTTTTGGTTATTGTAATTATTCAAATTTATAGTATGATGTAATTGTAATCACATTTTTGTCCGTAAATTTAATGAAATAATGACCTAAATATTACTTCTAGGGTTTCATTAGAAAAATATGACTAATTTTGGATTAGACAAAAAACTGAGTTGGAGATCTAGACTGTCCGTGTCTTTCCTTGTTCGGTCACCCAAAATTCTCCCTCTCCCAAGGCCCATTACTCCTCATTCCCCAACTCCAATTAAGCATCCAGCACAAAGAACGACACTCTGAATCGCCACCACCTCCAAACCGTCGCCTCTGATTCCATGTCAGCGCATCCAGATTGTTGCCTCTTAATGTCGCCTCTTAATGTCGCGGTTTCCATGTCGACGCTCAAGCATATGAGGAATGTGATAGAGGGTTAGGTAGGGGCAGTGGTGGTCGGTGACATCAGCTTCGGATGGTGGCAGGAGAGTTTCGGGGCTAGAGGAAGATGGAGATGAAGCCTAAAAAATGGGCTTGGGACGGTGATGGGGGGGCTGGGTGTTAGGGAGGGGGCTGAGGGCGCAAGGGACTGAGGGAGGGGACTGGGGAAACGGGGGAGGGGGCTGGGGGTGCAGGGGAGGGAGCTGGGTGGATGGGGAGGGTGCTGTTGTGCTAGGGAGGGGGCTGGGGATGCAGGGGAAGGGGGTTGGGTGCTAGGGAGGGGGCTGGTGGGTTGGGGAGGGGGTTGCTATGCTGGGGAGGGGCTGATGGGTTGGGTAGGGGGTTGGGTGTGCTAGGGAGGGGGCTGTTATGTTGGGGAGGGGGCTGCTATGCTGGAGTGGGCTGGTAGGCTGTGGAGGGGGCTGGTGGATGGGGAGGGGGTTGGTGTGGTCACGATGAGGGCGGCGACTGGCATCGGTGGCGGTTGCCGGGTGTGCGGGGGTTGGGTGTGGGTGTCGGTTGATCGGCTACGGTGTTGGCGGCAACAAATTCAGTGAGTGAAACAATCACAGTGACATGTTTTTCGATTACAGTGACATCGTAACTAACATTAAAATTTTGAAGTGACAAATCATAGTTATACAAAAAAACCACAATGACATGTTTTGCAAGAAAAGGTCATAGGAAAATTTTCTGACGATTATAGTAACATTGAAAAGTGACATAAAATTTGATAGTAATATGTAATAGTGACATAAAAATCAAACAGTTACATAAAAAAGTAGTGTCATCATGTTTTTCATATATGTGACCTCTTTGATCACATTTTTGTCCTTTTATAAAAATGATCATTCTTTTAGAAATTTGCTTCAATTAAGTTCGAGTAATATTCAAGGAAAAAGTCCAAATTGAATTGGACTACAAAACACTCATTATAGCAAGTCTACCATTTAGAAAGTACTGTACGGAGTATATTTTTTTGATCGTACCATTTAGGAAGTCTATGAATAAAGAATGCGGAGTGCATTTTTTTTGAAAGAAAAACTACTAAATACTCCGTATCACTTATCAAATCAAAGTGCAAACCATCCCAAATACAGTCGGGGTTGAAACCCACATCTTATAGACATATAAACGATGAAAAATTCTAGAGGTACACACTTTTTTGTGTACACACTTTTTACACATGTCTGTGTAAGGTTTTTTTTATGTCTGTACAGACATAACGTATTTTAAAATACGTTATGTCTGTACAGACATAAAAAAAACCTTACACATACATGTGTAAAAAGTGTGTACACCAAAAGTGTGTACACCAAGTCCAACTCATAAACGATTACCCTAACAAGATAATGAGTGGCATGATTTGCTCATTATCACTTGAAATAACCTCCAACGCATCGGATTCAATGACCACATTGCTCCAGCCGTGTTCTATGATCCAGCGGAGTGCCTTTTAAAATTGTTGGATGCGACGTCCCTTGTTGATGGTATTAACGTCCACGGCTTCTTCCATTCATTTTTTTGGAAAAGATAACTTACTCTCTTCGTCCCTAAAAGTAGGATTGTAAATGAATCGAATCGAGTCGAATAATGAGATTTTGTATTTGTATTTTTTTTTTTTTGAATACGAATTCGAATTCAAATATGAAACGAATATTAATTTCGATTTGTATTTGTTTAACACTACGAATAGTTAACAAATCATATACGAATATCGAATCGATTTGAGCATAGGTTAAATATTAGTCAAATATCACTCTAAAATAACTTTTCTTATCATCCGTATTTTTTATGATCTAAAGCATGCTATGACTTAATATGTGTTTTTAAAATTTTAATTTAATGGATCAGTGCATTTTTAGATGGTGCACAATATACTAAAGTGAATTAATTTTATGATTAATAAATATAAATCTATTTCAAACTTTTTGAAATAAACACCAACACACACATATTAGAAATTATACTTATAATGTGTGAAATAAGTTGATAATTGTATATATCAAAGTCAAACAACTCAAATTTTATTTTTCAAATCGAATACATAATTATTTGTAATGTATTTGAAAGACATTTGAAACAAAAAATTAATTTGTATTCTTATTTATATTCTGATTTATTATAAAAGAGCTTGAAATCTGTATGCAAAAGTATATATATGAGTTCCACTTTGAGGGTATTGATATCTTTTAGAAGTCATTATAGTGTTATTACTATTATTATTAATATTGACATTAATATTACCATTATTATTAATCGAATATATTTGATTAATATTCAAAATTTCGAATCGAATACACTGAAATTCTTATTTGTATATAATAAAAACTAGAATCAAATTTAATATTCTTATTTGTATTTGTATTTGAATTTTCCGAATTCGAATCGTCTTATACGAATTCAAATCGTGAATCGAGCACAAATTATTTGATTCGTTTACAACCCTACCTAAAGATTGTCCTACTTTGACTTCACACATATTAAGGAAATGAATTTGATTTTACACTGTAGTAACAAGGTATGACACTATAGCGACACTGTTTGATACTGTAGCGACACTGTTTTACACTATTTGACACTGTTTGATATAGATTTGTTTGCTAAATAAAGAAGTTAAAAAGTAGGACATTCATTTAGGGACATCCATTTTGCGAAAGTAGGACATTTTTTCAGGGACGAAGGATGTAATTATTATTAAAACCGATAACCAGTTACATTATCACCATAACAAAGGTTACACGAGGGTGAGACTCAGAGATGAAATCACGCTTAATAGCGATCCAACTCGCTAACCCGCAAATTGGTAGACTTCCTTAACAGCATTGCTGCACCTGCTAATAAAAGGTAATGCAAAAATAAAAGAATTTTTACACAAAGAAGAAACATAAAATGAACATAACCCATTCATATGTGTGCATTTTTATAAATCACACGTATGCTAAACGCCTAAACGGTACAACATATGTAGATAATCTTCACCACCTTTTATTACATTCAATAAATCACACACCATACATATACACATGGATATACATGGGTAGTTTAAAACGCTAAACATTTAAAATGTGAAATTTTCTTTTTTTTAAATGTTTAGTTGCACTTTTCTATTCAATTAGTGCACTTTTGTATGTTTGTAAAAAGTTAAACTTATCTATGAAAATGTCATCTCGTTTCTTTTTAAAAGTGCATTTTATCTATGTATACTGTGTATCCGATTTTTTTATTTGATCCTAATTATTTTTTAACCTAAGGGTCAGGAGTATGAGAGAATGAGTAACGATCGATTGAACTGGACCGCTTCAGAAGTTTATTAAAATGGTGCTAGTAGCACACTTAGCTTTCAATTAGTCTATATCGAAAATAATACTACGTACAAATATTCGCAGCTGGCATTGCAGCTTAATATAGTAAACCCAACACCTCTTCTGACCCTCCTTCAACGTCATTATCAATTTATTTAACATAAATGGCACCTGATCGACATCATAGATTCATATATAGTTGATTATCTGGAATGAGTTGTTTCAAATAATTGAAGTATTTAATATATTACTCCAGCATAAATCTTCTTAAAGTACCTTACAATTTAAATATTTTAACATTTTTAATCATTTCTATTACCCAAATACACAATTGTGCAACTGTTGGAATTATCGATCAAATTCACTAAACGGTAACAGGCACAAGAAGAGGATGTTAACAAATTATAACAATCAGTTTAATTGTTAACTGATGTCATTACTATTACATTCCAAAGTCAAAGTTACATGAAATTATTATTGAACAGTTTAAGAACTATCATTATATACACGTAAATAACTGATTAGTATAGTACGTATATAGTCTATTTATATATAAGAAAAGAGATAGCTGTTCAAAGTACAAATATGCCCTTATTAATCCAACGTGTCATGCCTTCCGTATTTCACTCTGCTTCTCTCGGCACTCCACCTGGCTTTTTTTTGTTTGCGAATTTTGCCAAAGAAAGAAAAATACCTGCGCCAGATTACTCTTCTTCCTGCGTCTAAAAAACTCCATTAGCTGGCCACTTTCTTCTCCGATTTTTCCTCCACAAATTTTTCCGATATACAGCTTGAGGTTGCCATGTACAACACGCCTCACCCGCTTCCCATCCACGGAATTACCGCAATTTGGAGAGACGTGAAAGCACAAACCACTGCAATACAAGGTATTATCACTATATATATACCATTACAATACTAGGGTTTTATGCTCTATTGCCCTCTCTAATAACGCCACAGGTACTCTCTGTCTCATTCCATCATCTTTCTCTGAATCTAATTAGTATTCGCTCTTGATTTTTTAGTTCTTTTTACGTACACATATTGTAAGTGCACATTCTTCTTCACCTTATAAAGTATTCTTTTTGTGAAGGCTTCATTTTGAAGCTTTAGAGTGGAGTCAAACATCCTGTTTCAAACTGGAATTGTCCTATGATTATGGATAGATATTGATTTATTCATTATGGACTACAATAACATTGTGCATATAACATGTTTGATGAAATGTCTCATTAAGTTTTACCCTTCCAACTGTCAATATAGGTTCAACATAGGAATTAATATAGTTTTTGTCTATATTTATTTTTCTATGTTTGTGGTTATAAATATTGATAAATCATTGTGATGGTAAATCAATTACATCTTTAGACCATGATATATTGAAAAGCAGCCTGCATTCAAAGCCAACAATGAATTGTGTGGCTGTTTCACATTGAACATCTAAACAGTTTTTGGGTTCATTAGTTCAGATTAGCGACAAAGAAACACTCCAAGTATGTTGTGCATTAAAATTGTTTTTATAAATTTTAAAAACTCCCCTGTATAAAACAAACTAGGGAAAGTACAAAAGAGGGTTTTATTAGGCTAATGTCATGCCAGAATTGTATTGTTTTGCTACAACCAATACAGTTCGAAAGATTTAGTTTTAAAAGTCTATTGTTTTAGAGGTATTTTATTACAATGCAATTCATGAACTCTACCTCTTATGAGAGTCATAAGCTAGGCAAGAAGTGGAAAAGGGTTATATCTGTCCTTTGGAGATTTGCTAAGCGTGTTTTGGGAGGTTAATGGAAAGTTGTTGCTTGCAACCAAGGAAAGTGCATTGTATGAACTCGAAGCTCAGTGTGAAAGTTCTTATGAGTACAGTGCTAACATTCTGTTTCATTCGAAAGTGCTAAAACATAACACATTTTTTCAATATCATTCTGTTCTTTCTAAAAATAGGAGTATAGGACTCATTTACTCATTCACTCACCTACAAGATGGATTATTAGCAACTTTAATTTCTTTTTAGGACTAAATGAGTCACTTTTTTTTTCCAAGTCTTGCATATAATGATCACTCAATTAAGCTACAAAAATAATATGTAAATTTTTGGGTTCATTAGTTCAGATTAGCGACAAAGAAACACTCCAAGTATGTTGTGCATTAAAATTGTTTTTATAAATTTTAAAAACTCCCATGTATAAAACAAACTAGGGAAAGTACAAAAGAGGGTTTTATTAGGCTAATGTCATGTTAGAAAACAATAAAACAGAGTAATTAAAATATCAAATTCTATTAAGTTTGGGAAGAAGAAAACCAAAGCTTTAATAGGATGTAATCTATTCAATCTTAATATGGCTGCCACTATGCTCCTTTAATATCAAATTCTATTAGGTTTGAGAAAAAGAAAACCAAAACTTTAATAAGATATAATCTATTCAATCTTAATATGGCTGCCACTATGCTCTTTTGTCGTTGCTTTTGGGTTTCTAATACCAATACTTTTTTCGGCTAGGCAGTCTATTTTCTTTTTGTGCTATCATTTTCTTTTAGGTTCATCCTTAAAGTAAAACAGATGGACTTTTAATAAGTAATTTGTTTCCTTTCTTCCTATTTAGTTTTAACTCATTGTTCCATTTATTTCTTTACTAAAAATCAGCTTTCATCTGGAGCTTTTCATACGGATCATTCAAAAGAAAACAGAGCATACACCATGGTTTTCTTAGGATTTCCATATGATTATACTAAACTACAATCACAACCATTAAGATAAATACAATGAAAATATAAATAGAAGTCTGTCCAGGTTTTCCATGCCATCTTATATATGCTTACTTAATTTTTTCATAGGCAGCCTCTTTTCTTTTTGTTCTGTATTTTTGTTTTTTGTTCATTGAACCCAAAGTAGAAGTTTTTGGTTTTGCACAATCCATGTTCCCATTTATAAGTTTTTGTTTAATATAGGCAGTCTGCTCTGTTTTTATTCTTGAGTTGGTGGCAATACCATTTGCAAATCTAATCTACATTCAAACAATGAAGACAACATTAACCAGACAGTTTCATAGAGCAAACTTATGTGTATTGAAGGCTCCTATGTGTTCATACTCTATGAAATACAAATTGATTAGATAATTTAGTGAAATACAAGTTTTATAAAGTAACACACAAATTAGATAATCTTAAAGTTACACACCTTTGCAATAATACATACTCGGTACATGCTACATTTTTTGGACCCTTTAAAAGTGAGCTCCACTACTAAGCACCTTTTGCACCACGTAAAAGAGGGTTCTGCATAAACCAATTCATTAACGCATTTCAGTATAACTTTATCAATTTGAGTAAATTCGAACTGATTTGGTCAATTTTAACGTAACTAGATGTCTACATGTGCGCTCAATTAAAAACAAAAGTGAAACCAACCATTCCAGCTCACTCCATTGGAGGTTACCGTGTCCTAGCAGAGGTCTCGGGTTCGAATCCCGCTAGACACATTTAGGAGAGAAGAGGGAGGTCTTGCTCCCAATGATTCTTCCTACTTTCATGGAGTTGCACATTGGCTTAGAAGAGAACGGATGGAAATTCAAGTCGCGAGTTCGTGTGGTGGGAGGACCCTTCTGGATACAGATGAATGTGATAATATCCGAATTTGACTGTCTAGAGGCATTGGAGGATAGTCAATAGACTCCAGGATTAGGGGAGCGCAAGCACCGACACCTGGACTATAAAAAAAAAGTGAAACCCACTACGTACCTAATGAGTAGGGCATGACGATCAATCCTTGTTTGATTGAGTATATATACTCCCTCCGACCCCGGCCCCCAATTAAGTTACCATTTTTCTTTTTGGGCAGTCCCACAATTAAATTCACACTTCCCTACATTTCCCTATTTGGCAAATTATCTACATCAAAACAGTGCAAAACAGTGTTAAACAATGTCCAAACACTGTCCAAACAATGTCAAAACAGTAAAATTTACCCTGAGTAAATTTATTTTCTTAATATGTGTGAAATTCATTTAGAACTTAATTGGGGGACGGAAGGAGCATTGAATAGATAAGGTGAAATTGTGGATCAAAAGTTTTACTTTATTACTAGTAATACATAATACGAGTAACTTTTGCACTTTTTGTATCCCACACGTCGTTTTGTATAGATAAGCATATACGGATTATTGTGAATATGGAACAATCAAATACTATCTCTGTCTCAAAATTAACTTCCCATTTTGGATTACGATGTTTGACCGACGATAAAGCAACTCGATTCCTGTTCATACTCAGATTACTTTTAGTAAATAAAATTTACATATTGAGAAACTACATTAAAACTGCTACAAAGGTTGATAAAAAAATATAAATTTGATAAAATTTGATATATAAAACATAAGATTGAGAGTAATTTAATTTGACCATGTGAATAGTGACTGTGAAGTTCATTTTGGGACGGAGGAAGTACTAAGTATAACAAAAAATAAATTCTCCTTATTTCAAAATAAACTTCATTATTTCCATTCGTATCCCTTTTGTAATAAACTATTTATAAAAAAAATGGCCAAATTGGCGCAACTCAACTATTATATCGAGATGTGACAAGTCTCAAGTTCAAAACTCAGCGAGATTAGTGACAAATTATTTTTTTGAAATGAATAGAACTTTTACAAATATCTAGACTAACACCGTCTACTTGTTATTTGTCTACTTATGATTAAAGTTAAATTTACATCTTCTCGTTAACTTTGTCCGACGAAGACCAAAACTTAGGAAATGAGTTAATGATAGGGGTATAACGATATAAGTAAAAAATCTAGCTGGAGCCTGGATGGTACTCCGTAGTCCGTACTAAACAAGATGGGAACATGGCATATGTTGGACTTTTGTGGGCTCTTTCAGAGATCCGACCGACCAGACACATTCAACCTCATCACATCTGTTTCTCTTTCTTTCTTTCAATTCAACTCTACATTTCCTTTCTGCGGATTCCTGTAGAATCCATTTCTTTCAATTCGAACTCACAAAAATGTCGACCCACCATGCCAAGACGGATTCCGAAGATACCAGCTTAGCCCCTTCCTCACCGAACCGGGCGGTCTACTACGTCCAGAGCCCGTCCAGAGACTCCCACGACGGCGAGAAGACCACCAACTCCTTCCACTCCACTCCCATCCTCAGCCCCGTCGGCTCTCCCGGCCGCCACTCCCGCGACTCCTCCTCCACCAGATTCTCCGGTTCACTCAAACCCGGCTCCCAGAAGTCCACCAACGGCTCCCGGCACCACCAGCACATTAATCCCCGCAAGGCGGAGAAGCAGTGGAAGGAATTCGGCGCCATTGAAGAAGAGGGACTTCTCGATGAGAGCAGTCGCCGGTCGGGCCTCCCGCGCCGCTGCTACTTCCCGGCGTTCGTCCTCGGTTTCTTCCTCCTCTTCGGCTTCTTTTCTCTGATCCTGTGGGGTGTCAGTCGCAATCAGAAACCTCATCTTACCATGAAGGTAATCAATAATCAAATCAAACTTTACGCAATTGTGATTTCAATGATGAATTGATTCTTATTCCTTAATCGAATTGAATCACTCAATCCAAATTCCCAATGCTTAATTCTGTAATATCTTCATCCAAATCAACCCATTCGAGACTGAAATTGAAAATATTGGCAGAGCATTTCTTTCAATCAATTTGTGATTCAAGCCGGCATGGACCACTCCGGCGTCGCGACGGAGATGGTGTCGATGAACTGCACCGTCAAGTTTGTTTTCCGTAACGAAGGAACGTTTTTTGGGACGCACGTAACGTCTACGCCGTTAGATCTCTCATATTCCGAGCTCACCGTCGCTACAGGAACTGTAAGATAACTTTCCGTTAATCAAGATCTCTGCTAAATGAGACGTTTCATTAATGTTGATTTTTTTTCAGATGAACCAGTTCTATCAATCAAGAAAGAGCCAGAGGACCGTAACAGTGACGTTAAGAGGGAACGGGATTCCGTTATACGGCGGCGGTGCTGACCTGACAAGCAATGACGGAAAGCCGACGGTGCCGGTGCCGTTGACGTTGAGATTTAAGGTGAGAGCAAGGGCTTATGTGTTGGGCCAGCTGGTGAAGCCCAAGTTTTATAGAAGGGTCCAGTGCTCGGTTGTTTTGGATCCAAAGAAGATGAATGTGGCCATTAAGCTCAGGAAAAGCTCTTGTAGTTATTCATAGTTAATGATATTTTGTTATGTACTTGTACCATAAATGTAGTCGTTTCCATTAGGATAGATGGGGGCAAATTATGCCTATGTCCAACATTTTTGGTTTTCTTTTTTTCTTTTGAATCAGGTGCATTGGATTGCTTAAAGTCCATGGATTGTCAATCAATTTGAGACTTTGTTACTGATACTTTTGTAGGTTTTGAATATTTTCACTTTTGCTATTTCGATTTTTTAGTACTTTGGAGACATTTTTTGTTTTCCAAGGTCCCTTGACGGACCTGAAATGAGACGTTCATAGGCTCATAGTATAGCAGTGAAAATGTTAAGGAGTCAGATTGGAGGAGTGAAGGAGTCAGAGACATGGACACCTCCCACGAAGAGGTGGGCTAAACTCAATGTTTATGGCGCACTTGTTGTGGAGACTGGAGCAGTGTGCATAGGCATCACTTTCAGACATTGCAGCGGACTGCTGCTGTTGTTGAAGTTCAAGTCGGAGGCCAGCTCGGAGCAGACTAGGAATCCAAAATGCAGACTAGGAATCTTACAATGCAGAGGTTATCTTGGGGCTCTCAACGACCATGGGTACCCAAGTCTCTCGGACACGGTTGGTGCACGAAATTAAGAGTGCACGTGGTCGGCTTGTTGCGGTGCAATGGCATATGTAACACCCACCCAATCCGATCCAGACGGTTCTGCTAGTCCTACCTGATCCGACACGAATTGGTTGGGGATTTAATTACTTCTAAAATAATCAATATTGAAGTGACAAAACTAAATGAGTTTAGCAGATCATGATAAACTCGAACATACCAGATGGATCACAAGTTGGCCAACAAGTTTATATGTTAAAAAACCTGAATAGTATTCAAAGAAATTTGTATGATTGCACTAAGTTGTACTCAAAATGTCATAGTATCGCATTTAACCTGCGTGTAGCATAACACAAAACAATGTAGCTACATGCTCAACTGAAGTTGAGTGGCACGTAAATCGTATATGAAGAAAACAATGTAGCTACATGCTCAACTGATGTGATATTAAATGAACATGACATAACTGAGCCTAACAGAACATAAAGGAATAAAACATGTCATATTATGGTTCAACGTGACATAATAGAACAGATCATATCAAAGCAGACCATATCAGAATAGAACTGATAAAAAATAATAATTTTATTTTAAATCACTTAATCTATTAGCACGACAAACTCACGAGACCGACTGATGGAGTATATGGCCCGTGGCCCCCAACCCACATACTCCCACCACCTCAAACGGACTCGATAAAGCCCAGGCACCATGTAGCCCATATCTCACAGGGGATGCCTTCGGCACCATGGTCGAAGGCCTCAAACTCAGGGACGCCACTCCATTTCGGTCCAACAGCACGCCTGGAAGCTTGGGTCTCGAGCATCAGCCTTCAGACAAACTGTCTTCGGCCTCGGGACCGAAGGCCTTCATTCTCGACATAAACTCCTCTGCTTAGTGCCCAACCACCGCATTTAATGTGGTGCCACGTGCCAGCACCAGCATAGGGGGGGGGGGGGGGCTATGTGCCATAGGCTAGCTTACATGTGTACATGCATTTAATGCACCTAACACTTATGACTAGTATAAGTAGCGCCCCTTGGGCGGTTGTAACGGACCATTGAATATTTATTGCTACTACACTTCCTCACTCTTACTTATTGCTCTGATTTCTCTCTAGATACCACTAGCGGTATCTCGATATAGACTATCTATCACCGACCAAGACTCGAAATAAGAGATAAAAAAAATACGTAATCATTGGGGCTACACACACCTATCCTCAGAACAAAGGTCGACCATGGTCTAATATACACTCTAGCATGTCAGGAGGGAAATGGTAATTGCGAGACCTACACCCCTAAAAACATAATTTTAGGAATACTAAAAACATAATGTTGAAGCACTTCGTACTAAAAACAGAATTTTCAGGAGTCTAATGTCTAAGTACTTCATACTAAAAACAAAATTTTCATAAGCACTTTGAACTAAAAATAGAATTTCAGGAGCACGCGTGCTGGAGCATGTTGTAGTGAAAATAACATGATGTCTCAATTAATGAAACACTTAGCACTATGCCGGAGTCTAGGTGACACAAAAACAAATTCTGGTACCTAGGTCCAAACGTAGTCTCTTACAAAAAACCATTGCAAATACTATCTGTGCATAATAATGATTTATTTTCATCATATTTCAAATGTGTAACGAGATATTAAACACATTCTAAAGTTCAAAAATAGTTATACATACTCAACAATGTCAACATAATTTAAAACATAGTCCAATATGGTCAATCATGGTCAAACACCATCAAACATAGTGAAATCTGATAAAGAGAATGACCAACCATCTCCAAAAGTAGTCAATCATAAATAAAATACAATCATCTATAAAATGCAACCAAATAGTAGCATAAATGGACATTAGAACGGGTCATGCATGTCCCTCGTCTATTCATCTTCTAAGTGGAGTTTAGTCATATAAGGTTGATATTGCCACTAAATGATCACTCGCTCATATCATATTACTTCATGTCAATTATTATATTTGAATTAAATACAAACTTAAGCATCATATAGTACATAAACAATACAGATTATTCAAAGAAGACTTGAGATTTATACGGTGTATTATGCTATTCATTTCATATGAAAGCATGTTATACAAATAGTGACCATACATGTACGATTTCACATGCACGGTCTATGTTATACATGTTCCTATGCTATTACTCCGTATAAATCTCAAGTCTTCTTTGAATAATCTGTATTGTTTATGTACTATATGATGCCTAAGTTTGTATGGCCTGGGGTACTAGGATTTAGCGCTGTAATGTATGGTCTAGTTAGAACTTTATTGATTTGGACATCTTTGTTTTAATTCACTTGCACGCTACTTAGAAGTGTTCCTTGGTATCGATTTAGTTGAAACCATTCTTAATGTTAACAAATTAGAATAAGGCACAAGGTAGTTGAAAATTCGCTTACCAAACTAACTTTTCTTTAAAGATTTACCCACACTACTTATTTATATATTTGATATATACGGTATTACACATTGATGATTAAGTATTTCGATTGTCAATATCTTATTCATAATTGTGTTCCCTTGGATTTATGTTGTCAATAAGTAAGTGAGAGCTTATATGATAACACATAAGGTCCTAAAAAAAGCCACAATCAATGATCATCAAGAATGAGATATTGATGATATGCGATAAGATTGGTATGTAGACTGCATCATACTTTTAGAAAGTATAGTTGATCTCACAACTATGAGTTCCTGTAATTCATGATGGTCACATAGATATTTTAGAGAATATTGGCATACCCACCGAGAAACCATTTGATAAGTTCTATTCATGTGTCTATGGGATTATCAGCGTATAGAGTAGTGTAATAGTCCTCCGACTTGAGGTCAATACGTACTACATGTGCGGAGTGATGTACTTTGACCATGACCAACGCTTGCACTCCAATCGGGGTAGATACGACATGTGTTGGGTGCATCACGAAGCACATTGAGTAGTAGTTGAGCCAAGAAAGGATTCATTCCTCATAATAGATTAAGAGAGAACATTCTACTTCTCATATTTAGATGGATCATAAAGTCATTGGCCAAGGCAAAGATATATTCGTTTTGGATATCGAATATGATCGTTACGGATCATCTAGAAAGATTGAGAGACCGAAACTAAGTTATTGGAATAGACACAATATCATGTTCTCGACTTAGTAGAATGTTCATTGAATGAAAGGACCGTATCACTATGAACTCTATATTACATGGAGTTTGAATAGTCCTCGCAAACGTCCTTATATATTAAGTTTGTCTGGTAAATCGTCTAGGGATTCTACTAAGACCTTAATTTGATTAGTGCTTAATATATAAGACCATATGGGTCACACAACAAGTGATTATACCTTCGGATTGAATTGTTAGAAGGAATTAAATATTATTAATTGGATTAAATAATATTTAATTAATAATACTGAAAATGGATTAAATATTAATTAGATTAAACCTATTTAATTCATGAAGTTGAAGGAGAGTTCTATTTGATAGAATTAATTAAGTGGAATAAATTGGATTTATTGTACTTAATTAAGATGTATTTTTAATTAAATAAAGTTGGTACTTTTCTTTATAATTTAGAATTAAAAGAAAAGAGAAAATAAAAATAAATAATGATCACGAGGTAAAGTGGCGTGCAAGCCCACTTTACTCTTACTGTTGGTTATTTTTGTTTTGTTTAATTAATTGAATCATTAATAAGGAGTATTGGTCTTGTTAGGATTAAAACTCATTAATGAAGAACACTTTCATTGTGATTGGGAAACTAGTTTAGAACTAGTATAAATACATCCTTCTCCTTCATAATTGATAGACTAGATTTGAGATTCAGTATTACCAGTTTATTTCCCCGCGAAGAGATTTCCTAGCCTTTCTCTTAGGGAGATCTAACCATTCTTTCGGAAAGGAGAAATCACGTGGATACCAAAGGTCAAGGATTATCACCGCTAGGCTGGAAGATCTGTAAGTTCTAACTTAGATCTGTTATTATTATCATATTCGTTATTTTGTCATAATCAGGGAAGATCTGTTTGAGAAAATTTTAAACTTCCGCAGTCGTACTTTCGAGGTACGTTACATCAATTTCCTAACACATATTTCTTTGTTGCAATCATCTCTTATTCAAAACATGTTGTCTAATTTGACCTGCTAATAGTATTTTTATTTTTCCAAACTCATTTGTTCTTGCAATTATAACTTGGTTTCGTTCAATTTTTTTTTGTTATATTAGTACTTTTTAGAATTTCATCTTTTAGATAAAAATTTTGACAATAATTTTTTTAAATTTGCTCGATTGTTTTACAGGCATTTAGTATCTCTAAAATTGCATTTTTATAAGGTTGGCTGGGATTCCAAAACTCTTTTACGACTATGTGGCTTTGAGTTAACATGATTGTCTTAGTTACTGGATTTGTATGATTTTCATTTCAAAGATTCAATTTGTGTGTCTTCTGGTACATTGGTGCATTTGTAGACTATCAAGGCTTTCTCCAGAATATGTCATCGGTGCAACATGCATTGCTTGTCGCACCAATGTTTGTAACATGTTGGCTTATAATTGTAATTTTTTGTTATGGCTTGTGTCCTGCT